GTGGTTAGTGTCTGGGTGGGTGTGGTTATGAGAAAGGAGGTGTGGCTAGTGCATCAGTGGGCGTGGCTTGTGCCCGGGTGGGCGTGGCTAATATGTAGGAGGTGTGGTTAGTGTCTGGGTGGGCGTGGTTATCACCGGGGGGTGTGGTTATCACCTGGGGGCATGGTTATCACTTGGGTGGGCGTGGCCGGCAGCTGGAGGGGCGTGGTTTCCATGGAGAGGGCGTGGCTGTTGCTAGGGGGAGGGGCTTCCTCACATTCCGGCTTTAGGGTGCACTGGCTCTTTAAGAAAAGGGCGTGGCTGGCATAATGATGGACAGGTCTGAGGGTGGGGAACGGGGGCATGGCCGCGTTTGACGGTGGTGGGCGTGTCCCGGCGCTGACCCCGCCCCTTTCCCGCAGGCGGGCAGAAGGCTCGGGTGGTGTTCGCGGAATTGTCCTGCCGGGAACCGGACGTGCTGATCCTGGTGAGCCCCGGGGGCGGGGCCTGGCCGGGAGGGGCGGGGCCTGGCCGGGAGAGGGGCGGGGTCAGCGCCCGGACACGCCCCGATGACCCCTTGACCTTTCCGGTGCTGCCGTCCTCACTCTGATCTGGGTGGGGTCAGGAGGGCGCGGTCTTCTGGGGAAGGGGCGTGGTCTATTCGCGAGGGGCGTGGTTTTGAAGGGGCGTGGCCTATTAGTGATGGGCGTGGCCAGTCGTGACCACGCCTCTGAGTGACCCCTTGACCTTTCCGGAGCCGCTGTCCTCATTCTCCTCCCAGCCTGGGTGGGGTCAGGAGGGCGTGGTCCCTTTAAGAAGGGGTGTGGCCTCTTTAAGGGGTGTGGCCACTCCATAAAAGGCGTGCCCCCTCCCTGAGGGGCGTGGCCAGCCAGGACCACTCCCCCCTGACCTTTTGACCTTTCTGGCGCTGCTGTCTTTACCATGCTGTGGGTGTGGTCAGGAGAGCGCGGTCTCTTTAAGAAGGGGTGTGGCTTGTCTCCGAGGGGCGTGGCCTCTCCCTGAGGGGCGTGGCCATCCCTGACCACACCCAAACGACCCCTCCCCCTCCCCCCAGGACGAGCCCACCAACAACCTGGACATCGAATCCATCGACGCCTTGGCCGACGCCATCAACGAGTACAAAGGAGGTGGGGCCGGGGCGGGGCCGGGGGGGCGGGGCCGGGGGGGGCGGGGCCGGCGCGGTGACGTCACGCTGAGCTCACGATGACGTCACAGCGGTGATCGTGGTGAGCCACGACGCGCGGCTGATCACCGAGACCAACTGCCAGCTGTGGGTGGTGGAGGAGCAGGGCCTGAGCCAGATCGACGGCGACTTCGAGGATTACAAACGAGAGGTGCTCGAGGCCCTGGGGGAGGTGGTGGCCCTGCGGCCGCGGGACTGAGTGACCCGCTGACCGCTGCTGACCGCCGGAGTGACCACTGGAGAGACCACCGGAGTGACCACAGTGACCATCAGAGCAACCACAGTGATCACAGTGTCCACCAGAGTGACCACAGTGACCATCAGAGTGACCACAGTGACCACCAGAGTGACCACAGTGACCATCAGAGTGACCACAGTGACCATCAGAGTGACCACAGTGGTCACAGTGACCACCGGAGTGACCACAGTGACCGCCCAAGTGACCACAGTAACCATCAGAGCAACCAGTGGTCACAGTGACCACCAGAGTGATCACAGCGGTCACAGTGACCACTCCAGTGACCGCAGTGACCACCGGAGTGACCAGAGTGACCACCAGAGTGACCACAATGACCATCAGAGTGACCAGTGACCATCGGAGTGACCATCAGAGTGACCACGGTGACCATCAGAGTGACCAGTGACCATCAGAGTGACCACGGTGACCACCGAAGTGACCACTGCAGTGACCGGGGCGGGGGCGGGGCCCAGGGCGGGCCCCGGGGAAATAAAAGGTGGTGGAGCAAAATGGCGGCTGTGGGCGTGGTCAGTGTGATGACGTCATTGGGGTTCATCGGGGGCGTGGTCAGTGATGACATCACTGGGAGGGATCACTTGTGGGCGTGGTCATTGATGACCACTGGGGTGAATTGTGGGTGTGGCCAGTGTGATGTCACCGGGATTTGGGGGCGTGGCCAGTGGGGTGTCATTGGGGCGTGGTCAGTGTGATGACATCACTGGGTGTGGTCCCTTGTGGGCGTGGTCAGTGTGATGACATCACTGGGATTTTGGGGTGTGGTCAGTGTGATGACATCACT